GATGCCACTGGCTTACCTGCCTGTCCACATCCAAGCAGAGCAGGACAGGTGATCTCCTTTCTGAATTCAACTTTTCACAAACATATCTGGCAGGCCTCAGGTTGACAATGTTGCCATGTTAGGATCCCATGGGGGATAGCTAGGTGCCATGGCTCACACCTGTAATTGCAGTAGTTTGGGAGATGAGATGAGAGGATTGCCTGAGCCCAGGGGTTCCAGAGCAGCCTGGCCAACTTGGCACGACTTCATTTCAGCAATAAATCCAGCAATTAGCAGGGCATGATGGCACATGCCTGAAGTTTGGTGTGGAACTATTGCCTGTGGCCAGCAGGTCAAGGCTGCAGTGACCATGAGTGTCCCATTGCACTCCATCCTGGGCACAACAGAAAAAACGACAGACAAAGAAAATCTATATGGTTATTTTTAACAATAACGTACCAACAGATATAATGAAACAGCAACAGTTCTGTCTGTGAATGCTCTCTTAAGCAGTAACATCAGAACTCAACAAAAAGTCAGGTACCATGGACAACTCCCTGTTTGTACTGATTACATGGTACTCATTCAACACCATTTACCCTTTTACAACAGTTGGAAGTTTCTGGAGCGTAGGGACATTGACCACTTGATCTGTTTTCTCTAGTAGCTTTGTAGTATGGTGGTAAACCCATTATCTATCAGTGTGTTTCTCCAGACCTACTCCTCATTATTTACCCAAGTAACAGGAAACTGTAACCAATTCATATGGCTAAATTCATTCTTTGTCCATGGAGAGTTATATTCTTATTACTAAACTCAGCATTAAAAAATATTATTTTTTTTTTTGAGTTGGAGTCTCACTAAGTCACCCAGACTGGAGTACAGTGGCTGTTCCCAGGCACCGCGACCTGCTGGGCTCCGGTGATCCTTCCGCCTCAGCTTTCTGAGTAACCGGTGGCTCTATTACAATGTTAAGGAGGCCTCTAGGCCAACCACGGTTCTTGAGTTCAGAAACACATAAAGAGCCAGGACTCGTGGTGTGGGGATCCTGGAGAGCCTGGGAGGAAATAATTTGAGAAGGTGCAAGGGGAAGCCAGGATGGGCAAGTGCTGTTGGGTGACAGTCCTGCAGTGGCCTTATCTGAATTATCAAGGTGGAAATCTCTAGGGTCTGTCATTAGTGTCATTGGCCATTTGTGTCACCAGGTCCAAATCCGGTTCTGTCGACATAGGGAGTTGAAGCAGGGATTGTGACTTTATTTAGTGGGGACACTAAAACCAAGGAAATGAGGGGACGGCATCCTAAAGACCCCTCCTGGGTCGTGTGTGCTTTTTCAAAATTTTTATCCAGGCGGTGGGACAGAGAGCGGCTAAGATCAAGAAATGGCTTAGACTTACAGACATCTGGGTGATGAGAGGAGTCCTGGAAAGTGGTGAATTATCTTTGTCCTTGGTTCACAGTCTCCTTGTTCCTTTATTAAACAAAACAGAGTTAGTGCACATGCTCCCACTTTCCCAGAGTTAGTCTGGACAGCTGCATACTGGTGTCAACCTTGTCAACGTCTCAAAATTATTTTAGCTACATGGAAACACACAAAGAGGCCAGAGATCCCCCCTCCCCACTACCATCTAAAATGGAGTTATGTTGGACTTTTGAGAATTGACTGTCCCATTTTGGATTGATTAGGTCTAAGTTTTATATTATTAAATTAGTAACCTAAAAAAATTTATTTTAGTTTGGTGACTGGTTTCTGTGCACTTGTAGACACATCACTGTTCTTGAGGGGCAAAGGCAGAATTGATGTCTGTCTTCTGGATTATCTTGCATTTGTAAAGAAGGAAAACTATCCTAATGACAAAGTAGACTCACCTCAGGGAGGTGGTGGGAGAATCAAATCAAAGAAAACCTTAGGGAAACAGGAGAGCAAGTGAGTGACTCCCAAGAGGGTGGTAAGACTGACAAAAAATAAATACATTCCATTTAATTTTAAAATAAGTAAAGGCATATTTTCAAAATGTAGGTGTAACTTGATTAGATAATCTCATGTGAGAAGAAATCCCAGAGAAGTTGGAGGAAAAACAAAAAATGGTGGCTTCTCAGGTAAATAAATATGTCCCAGATCAGAAGGAATGTTATATGTGTAAAACTTGCAAACCATGTTACTATCCTTGTGATGGTCCTACCGAATGAGTTTTTTTCAACTATTTTTGTTCTTCCTGTGATATTCAATGGGTCTGTCGGACACTGCTCCTACATAGCCTCTTCTGTTCTCTTCAGTCATACTGCTTAGTTGTCATAAACTGTTCTCACCATGAATGTATGACCTGCATTATTAAAAATGATCCCTTGTTACTGGAGGTCATGGGAAGGCATGGTAACCAAGAATCTCATTGGAAATTGGGTAGATCCTCAGATCCTAATGAAGGATAGAAACATGTATGTGTGTGTATATATATTTGGAATATTCCTCTGTTGTCCAGAATGAAATACACTGGCACATTCATGGCCACCAGAGCCCAGTTAATTTTTTAATTTAATGTAGAGACGAGGTATTGCCAAGTTGCCCAGGCTGGTCTCACATCCAAGTCTTCAGGAAATTCTCTTGCCACAGCCTCCCAACATGCTGAGGTTATAGGCATGAGCCTCTACTCCTAGCAAGAACATGTAGTGTTAAGGTTCTGTGTAGATGCTCCATCAGGTCCATGCAGAACACAGTTAATAAAATGTACATTCAAACAGGATGGCAGTTACTGCCCAAAATAACTGTGGAAAGTCTGAATAAAGAACAATTCCAGCTACTTGGAAGACTGAGGTGGAAGGATCGCTGGAGTCCAGCATGTTGAGCCTGCAGTGGCTGGGAGCGGCCACTGCACTCCAGTCTGGGCGACAGAGTGAGACGTCAACTAAAATAAATAAATAAATAAAATAATTAGAAAAGGCTTGCTCTCTAGGATGCCAAAAATGAAAAGTATAAATACGCTTTCAGGGATTACATGCCATGGGAGATTCCTGTAGACTGATTTCTGTGTAACACGAGCTTGCTTGTTATTAAATTGAGATTATAAATTACTATATTGGATGGGTGTGGTGATTCACCTTGTAATCCCAGCACTTTTGGAGGCTGAGGCAACAGATTTGCCTGAGCCTGTGTTTTGAGAACAGTTCAGGCATTTGGTGAGACCTTGTCTCTACATTAAATACAAAATCTAGCCAGGCATGATTGCATGTGTATGTAGTTCTAGATCAGGGGTCCTCAAACTACGGCCCGCGGGTCACATGCGGCCCGCCGAGGACATTTATCCGGCCCACTGGGTGTTTTTGCCACCGCTGCCTGTCCTGCCTAGCAGCTGACTGGTCCGGCCCGCAGTGCGGATGTGTGGAATGTGCATCGCACTCTCTGACTCCCCTCCTTCTCTCTGTCTCTGGACTCCACCTCTCAGTTTCGGGTGTGATCGGACGAGTCACGAGCTTGCCTGTGCAGAGCCTGCTGATGCCTGAGGACCAAAGTAAGAACAAATTAGGATTTATCTTTTTTTGAAGTTAGGAGGTCTTTTTTTTTTAATTTTGCAGTTAGTGGGGCCTTTTTTTTTGCAGTTAAGGGGTGCCTTTTTTTTTTCTGAGGTTAGGAGGTCTTTTTTTTTTTTTTTTTTCCAGATAGGGGGCGCCTTTTTTTTAAACTATAGTCCGCCCCTCCAACGGTCTGAGGAACAGTGAATTGGCCCCCTGTTTTAAAAGTTTGAGGACCCCTTTTCTAGATACTTGGAAGACTGAGGCAGAAGGATTGCCTAAGTCCAGCAGATCAAGGCTGAAGTGGCCATGAGCTTACCACTGCTCTCCAGCCTGGGCGAGAAGAGTGAGATTCCAACTCAAAAAGTAATAAGAAATTACTATAACTTTTGACAAAAAGATCTCTACATGGATGTTGTGTTCCACCTATGTGCATTGACTTCTGATACCAATTTGTCCCAAATACTTCGGATGCTATGGAGGATACATTCTTTTAGCCAAGGAGATCGAGACGGCAATAAGGTGTGATTATGCCAGGGCACCCTAGCCTGGATCAGAATGAGACACACCTAGCCGGGCATAGTAGCGGTTGCCTGTAGTTCCAGCTACATGGAAGGCTGAGGCAGAAGGATCACCGGAGTCCAGCAGGTTGAGGCTGCGGTGGCCGGGAGTGCCCACTGCATGCTGGTATGGGTGACAGAGTGAGACTCCAAGTCAAAAAAAAAAAGAATGAAACACACCACCTCAACAAAAAAGCACAGAACCTCAGGCTAAATCCATGTATTCTGAATCAGAATTTGCATTTTAACAAGATATTCAATTCATTGTTGTACAAATTAAAACTTGCTGAGGATCTTCTGACTTACTAGGAGCAGTATATGTAACGTATTCTGTGTGATATAAACAGTAATTCAAAATGTGCGTGCCTGTGTTGGTGTCCATTTTATGCTGTTTCACTCACAAAAATAGAGTCTACACTGACTGAGTAGATTTTATTTCAACCTTTCTTTACACACTTAATGAATTAGAGGATATTTCTGGGGTTTTTTGTTTTGTTTTGTTTTTGGTTTTGGTTTTTTTGGTTTTTGTTTTTGTTTTTAGTTGGAGTCTCACTCTGTCACCCAGATTGGAGTGCAGTGACCACTCCCGGCCACCACAGCCTCAACCTCCTGGGCCCTGGCAATCCTTCCACCTCAGCCTTCCAAGTAGCTGGAACTACAGGTGCACGCTGTCATGCCCGGCTATTATTTTTTGACTTATTGTAGAGATGAGGTCTCGCCAAGTTGCCCAGGTGGGTCTCGAACTAGCGGGCTCAGGCAATCTACTCACCTCGGCCTCCTAAAGCACGGGACTGCAGGCTGAGCCACCGAGCCCGGCCAGAGGATATTTCTTTGCTATGAATTTTTTTTATTACATAATAATTGTTGTCTTGTCAGCTGGACCCTGTTCTTTTCACTCTTGCTTTACCTAGAGGCCGTGGTGACTTGGTAAATATGTGTTTTTGTTGTTTTCAGGGGTTGTTGTCATTCAAGGATGTGGCCATAGAATTCTCTCCAGAAGAGTGGGAATGCCTAAACTCCCCTCAGCGAATATTGTATAGGACTGTGATGTTAGAGAACCATAGAAACCTGGTTTTCCTAGGTGAGGAAACTTTCAAAACATAATCCCTATTTCATACTAAGGATATTATGTCCTTTCTTTGTAGAATGTTTTCTGGGAATTTCTGCTTTGCATTAATGAATTTTAAATTTCTGCTATCAACAAAAATTTGGTAATATGTTAACATCAAAAATAAATATTAATGATTTTTCATTTTGACATGAAGCCTTCTCTATTTTAAATTGACCAGTGTCCTTCTAGCTATATTATTGGTAAGTCAGAAATTTAGTGGCATAGATATTATTGCCCACATCTCATTCCAATTGCTGCCAGTAGTTATTGACTCACTAGTACTGAACTAAGAACACAAATTTAAGTCCAGGTATGGTGGCTCAGCCATGTAATGCTCCAGCACTTTAGGAGGCTGAGTTGAGAGGACTGCCAGAGCCCATGGGTTCAAGAATAGCCTGGGCAACTTGGCAAGACCCCATCTTTACACTAAGTAAAAAAATTATCTGGGGGTGGTAATGCACACCTGTAGTTCTGGTTACTTGGTAGGCTGAGGGAGAAGAATTACCTGAGCCCAACAGGTGAGCACTGGGGTGGCTATGAGCTTTACACTGCACTCCAGCCTGGGTGACAGAGTGAGACTCTAACTTAGAATAAAAGGAAACCCATGAATTGAAAATTCTATCCAAATGTTCTAAAGGTTTTATTGGGAAACCGTTTTTGTGGTTAATTTTCTAGAATCGTGTATAATGTGTTCTCTACTGATCAAATACTAGGTTTGTAATCTAAGAACCTTAGCAAGAGTCATGTTACTTTTTTCTAATTAAACAGGACTTGCTGTCTCTAAGCCAGACCTTATTATGTGTCTGGAGCAAAAGAAAGAGCCCTGGGATATGAAGAGACATGGCACATTAGTCAAACTTCCAGGTAAGTGGGAGTGATTGAAACAGATGACACAGGTTGAGGAATCAGAGCTTGAAATGTGGTTTGGGAAGGTGGTCTGCTTCAATGGAAATGGTTTCTTAGAAACCTGGGATTCTTTCTCTTCCTGTCACAAAGGGACATCAGTTATTCCACGTTCAGAAATTCTCCAAAAACTCTGCTTCTTCAGTGATCTTTCAAGTTTACAGAGGAAATAAAAGTTCACTTAATGCTTTGTTAGGAACCGCATGATCTAACTACCTTTCTGATGCTTTGGAGACATACAATATTTGCTTATTTATTTGGAAATCCAAGTCAAAGTATTTTTTATGTTTTCTTTTTGCATCATGGTTGGAAGTATGTGAGCAGTGATTTTGTTATCTGTTTGAGAAATTTTAAGAACACTCTGGACACATGTTACATGTTTTCTAATTTGTGATTTTCTATACTAGGGAGATTTCCAGTGATTTTATTTAAATTCATACTCAATCATCCTACCTAAATTATCTCTCTTAATAGAAGAAATCCTGATATTTTACTTAAATTTTACTTTTATAGTATGATCTGAGACTGATAGTTTTTCTTTATATCCAATTATTTAAGTATACTGTATCATGTAGAGGGTTGGTAAATATATATTAAACTCCTAAATGTTAACTTGTGTCTTAATAACTCTTATTTTATAATTTTCTTTAGTATGAAGCTTAGGACTAGCTTCATATATGCATATATTCAAACACATGTATGTATGTTTATGTGTGATTAGCATCAGATTTTTTATACATAAATAAAAATGTATAACCATGTGTTGAAAATAATGTAATAATTTGATATGCCTATACAGTGTGAAATGATGATTACAGTTATATTTATGGACATATCAACCATCTTATGTAGTTGCCATTTTTATGTTTTGTAAGGAGAACACATAATGTCTTCTATTTTAGCAAATTTTCTAAGCATACGAGATGTCATTATGAATGGTAAGTCACTATAGTACACATTAGTTCCCTAAGACTCAGTTATAACTCAAATTTGGTAACCATTGAAAAACAACTCCATTTTCCCACCTGCAGGCCTTGGTGACCACGTTGTACTTTCTTCCCCTATGAGTGCAAAGTTTTTGATTCCACACGAGTGAGATCATACAGGATTTTTTTCCCCCAAGTTGGAGTCTCCCTCCAGGCTGGGATGCAGTGGCATGCTAATGACCACTTCAGCCTCATTGCTGGGCTCAGGTGGTCCTTCCATATCAGCCTTTCAAGTAACTGGAACTACAAGCATGCACTGCAATGCCAAAGTTATTTTTGTATTTCTCATAGGCCCGTGGTCTCACCTAGCTGCCCAGAGTGGTGTTGAACCCCTGAGCTCAGGCAGTCCTCTCATCTGAGTCTCCCAATGTGACAGGTTTACAGACTTGAGCCACTGTAACCATTCTCATGCAGTATTTGTGTGTGTGTGAGCCTGGATCACTTCAGTTAGCATAATGTCTTACAATGTCATCCATAAGGTTAAAATTGCAGAATTATTAAAAAAAAATTTGAATGAATCATATGCTATTGTGTATATATATGTGTGTGTGTATACATGTTATTTTCTTAATCAACACAGATTCCAAAAATATTCAGGTTGTTTTCAAGTTTGGCCATCTTGACAAATGCTGCAATTCTCATAGGGTTTGGAGACTTCTTTTTGATACTGATTTTATTTCCTTTGGTTATATACCCGGAAAAGGGATTTCTGTGTTATGTGGCAATTTGCTTTTATTTTTCAAAGATGTTGATGATAATTTTCTATGACTCTACCAATCTTAAACTCACCAAGAATATACAAGATTTCTTTTTCTTCACATCCATATCAAAAGTTCTCTCTCTCTCTTCTGGTTGATATTAGCCATTCTAACAGCTGTGAGACAATATATCATCACTGTGTTTATTTGAAATTGCCTCTATTGGTGATGTTCAGTGCCAATTCTTATACCTGTTGGCAATCTGTATGTCCTCATTGAAAAATAAGTATTCATTTTGGGGCTGTTTTTTATTCAAGTGAGAATTTTCTTTCTTTAACATCTCATCAAGTATATGGTTTGCAGATGTTTTTTTCTTTTCCTGTAAGCATTCTTCCTTTTCCCTTTACTCTGCAGAAGATTTTCAGTTTGATGTCTCTCAGTTGTTTATATTTATTTTTATTCCTGTAGTGAAAAAAATTATTACTAAGAACAGTATCAATATCAAGGATGTTTTCCAAATCCTTTGTTTGTTTATGTTTTATCAGCATGTTCTCTGTCACTCAGGCAGTAGTGTTGTGGTTCAAGTAAGGGTTTCCACATTTCATATGGAAATTTCTCAAACTTTTTTGTAATTTGAACCTCTACAAATTATTGTTGTACCCTTAATGGGGTCATTTATCCTGATTCTTTCTATGCTTTGGCATACTGTGTTTGAATTGGGATATTTGAAATTCAAAGATAATACACATCATAATGTTTATGATGTGGCTTTGTCTAGATTAATATAACATCAATCACAAAGTTAGAGGTTCCAGGAAACTCATACCTGTTCTTAGGATGTGTCTTCTCTGTACATTGGGACAGAAACCAGTCTTTGCATAATCCCTCAAAGGGCAGAAATGTGAACTCATACTCCACTCTTCTGTTTATTCCCTGAGGAAGAATTCAAGAGTTAGAACAGCCCATCTGATTACATCATGCTGCATTGTAAAAGAAGAGTAATTATGGTGAAAAAATTACTAAAATTTCTCTCCCATGTAACTCATTTTATCATGTGGATTCTGCAAAGTATTAGCTGTTTTTTGAGTTCTCACACAGGCAATGGGATAAGTGTTTTCTTAAGTACATATATTTATGATGGAGTGGAAACCTGTGATTTGTCTTGCCCTCATACTTAAGTCCTTACCATGGTATAATATTATGTTTTATTTTCAAAGGATATTCACCTGAGTCTAGCATGTGGAATAAATTTTTATTTTCATGATTTTCAGCTGTGACTTCTCATTACACTGAAGGCCTTTTGCCAGAGAAGAGTATAGAAGACTCCCTTTCAAAGGTGCCAATGGGAAAATATGGTAAATATGTCCTTAAGAACTTATGCTTACAAAATCTTGGGTAAGTGTGCATGAGGGTGAAAGGTAGATAGAATGCTAAATTGCAAATAACCATTACAAACATAACAAGAGTAGGAAAGTCTTTCATCAACACTCCAAATTTGTTATCTACCAGAGTATCCATATTTCTGAAATGGCTTTCAAACATGAATATGGCAAAACCTTTAACTGGTATTCAAAATGTATTCAATATCAAAAAAAATAGTGGAGGAAATATACCCAGTATATGTGGGAGAGGGTTTGAGAAATCATCCTATCTAAATAGACATGAAA